TGCAGTCCTGCCTGGCAACTTTTAATGTGCTTGCCAAGAAAAAAACGAAATTGAACTACTGGGTAGTGGAGAACGGCAGAATTCTGTAAGGTTCAGTGTGTTATGATTTACGTCTCTTAATTCTCATGAGGCGACCATTTGTCACAAGAAGACAGGATAGTTAATCCGCCGTTATATTTTGTGTGTCTTTGCAGACAGACACCGAAATTCACATGGTGCCTACATAGATGCAAAATATGAGTCAAAATGCCTCTAAATCCCGAGCGGTATGGGGTGTACGGAACATCTATCACTGAAGTACAATCTGTATCAGGAGTTTGGATCGTCTGTTAGAATAAAAATTTCCCGATTTAACTTTTTTTGATCAGAACAGTAGAATGAATCGCAGTCGAAGTGTTGGAACACCAAAGGGAGAAGAAAAAGTTTTGACATATGAAAATCTGCACAGAAATGCATTCGCAGACAGAAAAACTCCAGTAGCCATCTATTACACTGTAGATATTCTCAAGTAGCTCTTGTTTAACTCAAAAAGGGAAAGAATAAGGTTCTGAATCAGGATCGACGCTTTAGAAGTTCTAAATTTTGCAGTAGACCTCGGATATCTGGTTTTTAGCTGCGATCGGAAATAGTCATACACGTATGAAGACAGCCAAGCGGTTTATACTATTAACGGTAAGAAGAAAAATTAATTCACTAGACGGTCAGAGTGGTGCATAGTTCGATGATGTTAATAGTGGACGAAAGGGGGCGAAATTAATCTTCAGAACATCGGGCATCCAGAAAGCGTCTCTCAGTCAATGTTTCATCATTATTACCGTCATCGTTATCACCACCACCACCACCACCACCACCACCACCACCACCACCACCACCACCACCACCACCACCACCACCACTACTACCACCACCACCACCACCACCACCACCATCATCATCATCATCATCATCATCATCGTATCTTGCCATTGAGGTATGTGCAGTACAATGCGACCCAAAAACCCTGTCCGTGGGGTGACAGCTGAAAAGTAAAGCCATTCCAGGAAGAAAATGAGTCATCGGGCATAAAATTTTAATTAATTCCTGTCGAGCATAGGCATGACTAGATAAGAAATAAGAGTATCCCAATTCCCTCACATAGAAAACCATACGTGGATACGGTTTCAAAGTACATTCTCAAGATAGGCAAAAGACGAAAGGGGCCGTTAGCTACTTCGTACTTTCAATCCCACTTGCCCCGAAACTCGATTAATTTTGGGTTTTTAATAGCCGGCGTAAGATATGTTTGTTCTAGATTGATCATAGCGGATTTCGTGCAATCTCGATTAACAGAAGTCTCTGAAGGCGGACGTTCATCATTATTGTCTAAAAATCACAAAAGCAATATAATAAAATGTGCTAGCTGTACTGTCTCGAAAGATTGACCAGCAGGCGCAGAATGTTAACCAACTAAGTATAAAACGAGTACAGCACGTTTTCGGTCATCTTGCTCTCTATCTGTATACCCCAAGGAGAGTAAAAGAAAAAAACTCGGGGAGCAAGTGACTCAGTCATTAATGTCGGATAGGCCCACATTTGGGCGCTATTACTGTTCCAGCTCGCCGCTGCCTCTTGGCGACTATATTCACAGGAGTGACCTGAATGGGGGAAGGTGTCGGTCGATCTTGTGATCTGAGAAGCAGCCGCTAACATACTTCATTTCACTGAGGTTGAGAGACTCAGCTGACCATGGCATCCATCTGACGCAAAGAAATATTTTAAAATCCTTGACGGCGTCAAATCAATGAAGAGGTGCATTGTCAAGCCAGAAAGTCGATCTTAGTTGGCTATTTCGCAATTGTGTAACATAAAAACGGAAATCACATTGGCTCACGGCATGTGCTGGTCGGACAGCGCTGGACGAAAAAGAACCCCTAAATACTGTCGTGCGTGAATGCGGTGCGGTTAGATGGAGGCTCGGGCAACGTGCACAACTACGCCCACCAACACCATCGGTTGACTTGAATCAAACGAGTCACTGAAACATGACAGAGGGTTGATAGAGTGAGGTCGAAACTGAGCCATACCGCCTTTTGGCAATTTAACATGTCTCCCGACACGACGCGCTGCAATTCGTGACTTGAGAGACTGATGACTGGCGAAGGCCACCACTGTGTGCTATCCAGGACGGTGCTGCCTCTAAACCCTCACGATGAACGAAGCGCCCTGTGCGTGAAATGAAATGTCGCCCAAATCGCAGGATCCGCGTTACTTGTCA